CAGTCTGTCCTCAGGTGATTGAGGGCACAACGCGGACGAGTATCACTCAACGAGATTTGGGTGTAGAGGTTGCAATGACTCGCACAAAAGGAGTTATAAATATGGTCCACAGATCGAGGGAAAGAAAAATTGGCGCCCACAGCCAAATTATTAGCCACTTCTCATGCCCCACACACAATAAAAAAAGTCACTTTACTCTTCCTTCACAGCTCTGATTTGCCACATGCATAATTTCTTTTAGATAGCTACACGTGAACTTTCTTTGAGGATAATTTTACACTCCCTTCGTAGAGTCGTGTAAATCATAGGAGAGTTAGAAGTTTCTCTATAAAGAGTCATATGCGTGGCAAGCCAGGACTAACCGAAGAGAGTCACACGTATTATTTTTTCTTAGTGCGCAGAAACACGTCTAGAAAGATTTGGCGCCGACGTTATCATCAGCGGAAGTGCACAAAAAAATTTGAGTGCCCCTCGTGATCACTTTTGCGTACTTACATTGACCTGTGTGCACAAGGAGGCCTCAAAAATAAAGTGCTCACCCTGTGAGAGATTTGCAAAGCGATCGGCATACCGAGGAGCCTCCAAGCTTCCATTGTAGCTTGTATACATCACTTTGTGCTTCACCAACAGCGGACCACCAAATCTACCGTAACTAGTTATCGTAGTCAGCCAATGTATATCGAAACCGCCTTTCCAATTTTTCGTTTTATTCTTCTTTCTCGAAATTAGAGGTTTTAGGAAGGTCTAGCTTCAAAATTATGCACATTTCAAGTTGAAATCGTGCTCGTAAGTCTTTTTTCTAAGAAGGTCGAATACAAGCTTTATAAAGTTCTTTTCTTGCAGCATTGTATAATGATTGGTGGTGTTTTAGCTGGCACCTTAATTTGATTCTACGGAACGCTTACTAAGTAAAGGACAATGGATTTATATTAGCCAGCTGGGGGTTTTTCAACGTATAAACCTAAACACAAGTACACTGGCGTTGTCACATTTCACTCCTCCATCGCCGACATGCGGCCGCTGCAGCTGGAAATCGAACGCGTGCGATATAGAGCGACGCGACAGTCTGCTAAGGATCGATCCTGGCCGCGGCGGTTATATTTCGAGGGAGGCCAAGTGCTAGAGGTTCGCATTTTGTGCGATGTCAGCGAGCGTCAAAGAACACAGGTGGTAGAAATTTCTGGAGCTCTCTGTATACTTCGGCGTACCTCATAACCTTGTCGGGGTTTCGGTGTGTAAAACCCCGCAAATTATCGACACAAGAAGCTAGCACAGCAGGGGAGTTCTTGCACAAATTTGTAGCATTACCAGTGCAAAGTAACAAATATGTGGCTAGTTGAAAACAATGTTCTTATCTGGTAAGTTCAAAAATCTTAAAGTGATTACAATAAATGAGTGTTTTAGTAGAGTGCAACGGAAAAGAACAACTGAATGTCGAAGACATGTCAACGACAAAAAGTAGATACGTTATAGTACGCCGTCTAGCAGAAAAAAAACGCATCGATAACGGTAAAAATGACAAGGTGCTATGGAACTGCCTGATATAAAGTCCGTATTTGATTTATAATTGCAGTAAACAGTGCCTCATTATTAACAAACGTGGTGTCGTGAGTACAGAGGCAAAAACAAACATATGTCACTCGGCAAAGTGATCTCCACTTTAGAAATATTTGCATGATGACAACAAGAACGGTTGCAGCGGATCCGGCAACGGTGAGCTGACAGTTCCTTGTTGTTTCTCGGTCCGCGACACCTCATAAACTTTAGATCATAAAGTGCCAACGCCATATGTGTGAGCGAAGACAAGGCCAATAGGGGCACGAATAATTTCAGTTCCACCCGTTGCAAATGCGCAGACCCTACGTCCGCGTAACCAGAGGAAGTGATGTGTGCTCACGTGCCTCCTCTCAGGGTGGAACACTTGATTCATTACAACTGGGAGAGCGTGAAGGTGGCTCGCAAGAGGGAACCACCTATGCACATGCGCCTGCGATTTACTTCGCGCCTGTTCACAACATATGCAACTGGGAGTAAGATCTTATAGCACAAGTTAGGGTTCATCAAAAACGAAAAAAGACAAGTGTCACTTGCCCTGTCTTTTCTCATTCTTGAATTCGTCCTAACGCTGCCCGATACAATTCACTATGAATCGTATTGCACTAAGGTGAAACTGTAGAAGAGCTGAACCTTCTCACATTTTGTTTGTGTCGATGCTGTGTTTCATACCAAGTCATACGAGCGTATGAGAAATTTGATTGTATATATACTAGTGCTTAATGCTTATGGCGACGCCAATAAAAAACCACACCATCCGATATCAAAACTGCGAAGCGCCTCGCACGTGTCAGAGTGCTTGAGGTAGAAATTTCTTTTCAAGAAAAGTGTAAAAATTGACGCAATCTGTGAATTAACAGGTTTTGATAGGTACGTGCTAAACGATACACCGCGAAACCAAAAGAGTACTAGTGCTGCGAATAGTGCTGGAACATGCCACGTGAACTGACGAAGAGCCTTAACAACCAACCGCTGACTAGTCTGCACATCTATCTAGATTTGATCTCGAAACCAGTTTTCTGCTGGATTGAAGTGTGGGATAGGGCTATAGGCTTAGTTGAAATCAGTCACTCTGAATTCGCGTTCGCAGGAAGTTCGCCCCGACCCTTCACATATTTCGTTCATAAAAATATTCTGGCAGTCGCTGCATCGAGGCCTATCGAAACTGCACAGCCGTCGTTATATCTTCAGATGTTATTGAGTTAATCAAATATGAAAAGGCATTTTTCACTCACGTAGCGCAGCGTCCTCATAGAAATTGTATGAAGTACGCACTATGAAGCCTTCGATCTCGGAGCTACACTCTCAGTGCAGTTGAGTTTTAAGAGTAGCCTCTTTTTCACAGAATATCAACTGTCTTGTATTTATTGCATGCTTTTTCTTCTGTTTTAGGTTGTGGCGAGTGGTCGTTTGAATAAATATAAGTTACAGTGTTGTTTTGTGGTCAAATTAAATTAAAGCACACGTGGAATAGAGCTTGCTATACTCCTTGCTTTACCATACACACATGGCTATGAATGCTTTCATTTTAATATTTGTTGTTCGGTGTCTACCTGTCTGTTTTTGTGTCTGTTTCTTTGTCTTTCCATTCTTTCTGCATTTGTTCCCTTTCTCTCTCTCTTATTCTCTCTTTCTCTTTTTTTAATGTGTACTTCTTTCTGTCTCTCTCTCTCTCCCTGTAGCCACTGGCTTGCCTTCAATATTTTTCATCTTTCTTCTATTTCTTTCGAGAGGCCCGGACACCTAATTTTAGGGGCACGTTAAAGAACTTCAGGTGGTCGAAATTGCAGAGCCTTCCACTGCAGCGTTTCTCATAATTATATGGTGATTTCGAAACGCTAAATCCCATGAGTTATTATGGTTATTTTCATTATCTATTTCTGCGTCTCTCTTTCTAGCTATGGCACATGCGAACGTCGAACATAGCAGCGCTGCTGTTAAACTCATAACGCACGCATTAGTCACAGCAATTGAGCAAATCTCACTACTCACCGCACTGGTCCACTGAAACTAACAAGGAAACACAAGGGCACCGAACGCCGATTAGGGGCTGCACATTGCAGCTTCTCTTATTAACCATCTGCACCGAGTGCTTGAGGATTGAGAACATGCCGGTTCATAATGAGCATTCTTTTCTATCTACTACACTTGGCATACCTCGACCAGAATAACACTGCTGGGAAAGCAGGAGGAAAAAAATGGGCCACGTATTTGCGTGCTTTGCTGAAAATGTAGTCTAAAGACTATTGTCGTCTGCCGGCCGTACTACATAAGTCCTGGGGCGTGTGTTGCAGAGTGCGTTGTATTTCATCAAGCGACTAATTAAGTTTTGCCTTGCCTCAAACAGCACCTCCTCTATGCTGAATCGGCCGCATCTGGCTGGCATTGATAAAATGGAGGTGGCACTGCTTTAAATATGGACTCCATGCGGCAGTGGTGTCAGGAAACATGAGTTTGTGCACAACCCAGGGCCACTGCCAGGTAGAAGCACCTTATTGTCAATAGAGGGCTTTTTAGTTCATAGCGTCACATTTTCAGACCAGCCTGAAAACACTGGGACCTTTAAAATAACGTATCTATGTATTTTTAGCAAAGGAAGACACCACCTCATACGTACGTATTGATGGTGCACCACAAATTTACGTAATATTTGCTTTTTGATCTACAATGTTCACAAGTATGAACATGGCCACTAGTTCAAGATGGCTGGGCATTCAGCAAGTGCTTAAACTTTCGCTGATAGGCTGAACCTTGTGACATACATACATACATACATACATACATACATACATACATACATACATACATACATACATACATACGTACGTACATACATACATACATACATACATACATACATACATACATACATACATACATACATACATACATACATACATACATACATACATACATACATACATACTTACATACATACATACATACATACATACATACATAGGAAGACTAGAATTTCTGGGTTCAAGTATCCCAAAAAAGACCACTATCTTTAAAAGAAACCAGGAGGAATTAGAATAGCCCTTGCTTAACTTCAGGTTATGAAGCACAAGAGAAGCATGAACGTAGAGAGGTACTTACAGCGAAAATGCTGCGTGTCTTCTATACGGTTACTGGGCCCTTTGAGGCTTGTGGGAGGTGGCAACGAATTTTTTCACGTGTTAACGGGATGAATCTTTCTGTTGCAGTGGATGCCGTAGTTTAAAAATAAATGAAAATATTTTATCTAGGCAGAGGAACTGGAAAGGTCGTATAGATCGCCACATTTTACCTTACGTTGAAGTAGTTTGATCCGATGCTTCGGAAGTTCTTTTTCAAACTTATCTTTATGCTTATTTGATCTTACTCCATTATGCGTTAGTGGCGAAACATTAGACAAGAAACAACACACACAACAGTGGGCACAAAATGAAAGAATACATGGTGCGTGAGTTGGCGAGTGATAACCCAACGGGGCGAAGCCCACATTCAGATGGGTAATTTTATTGTTAACGTACCACAATTTTTGCTGGAGTCAATGACTTCAATATTGTGTGCAACTCGACAAACAGAAACGACAGCTGGACTGGCAGTGTGGTGTGGTAACGCGGCCAGCCGGGAGAATTTCAACTACAGTAGTTTCGCAATAACGCACTGCTCAAAGATCAAGGCGCGTTTGGTTGAGGAATGGCAAACGTCACAGTGACTGTAATACAAAAGACCGCCAAGTGCACAATATTCAATGAAATGTACGACTGCTCTATATGGTGAGTAGAATGCACGGCTTCTACGCATGTACAGGAGTGCGGGTGTCTTTGTATGCGTGCGCATTAAATTCGATTTACCGGGCACGTCATTGTATTACGGCCCGCGAAGTGCACCTTCGCAACATCTGGAAGACAAGCCCAGCGTCAGAATTGCAGTAAACGTCTGGTGAAAAATAGTTTCCCAATTTCAATAATGCGTATACATGCACACTTACTACGACGTGCGAATGACGTTAACGGGCCGTTTTTTCACCTTTCGCATTGTAACTTCGAAGCGTATACATTACCCTCTTCGCTTCGGTTGTGCCCTTTTGCGCAAGTTCTCACCGGTAGGTACAATCGAGGTTCGTGGCGCGCCGATTAGATCTCGAACCCTAGTGTATCGCGATACGCGCGTAATAGCAGCTAGAGGTGGCGGCCAGGTGTGTGTGCTCCAGTTGCACAAGATGCGTAATGAAGGTGCAAGTGCTGGAGGGTGAGGACGATGGTGTTTCTTGAGCCTGGCCATTGTGTCTCCGGTATATCAGGCCTCGTTGGCGGCCTTATTGGATCTCCGTGAGAGGGAACGCACAAACTTGGGCGTGATCCTCTGCAGTAGAGCAGCATTGCTGTAAGTTGGGCTGATGGGCAGGTACGAGAAAGCGGCGTTCGCCAGACGCGCCCTCAGGAAGGGCAAGTCGTAGCAGTCTTTTGGGGAGTCCGTGGCCTCGGCACTGCCGCCGACGTTGCCATGATGGCCTCCGGAGGCCAGGCCCCGCTCTTCGGGTGTGCCTGCCAATGAGGAAGCCATAAGGTAAAAATAGAGTACACACGTCTATTTGTGTGCTAACGAAACGATTCGGGTTCTACTGAAGAGTGATATTGTTAGAAAGAGAGAAAAATAAAAAAAAATATTTAGCGGACACAGGTGCTCTCCCACGTTCAATGTGAAAAAGCGCTCTACATGCTGGCTGAGTGGCAGCACTAATATAGGAACAATCAACATATGGGGCCACGCATGTTCAGTTTTTTTTTTAGCTGAAAAAACAACAGGATGACTCAAAATGTTTTCTTCTGGCGTCTCTGAGTTTTATCCATATGCTATAGACTTTTACGAAGAAAACGAATTTCCGCCTTGATGAATGAGGGGCTAGGGGGCTCGGCTGCTGACCTGAAGATCGGGGGTTTGATTCCCGCCGCGAGAGTCGCATTTCAATGGAAGCTCGATGGTGGAGGCCCGTGTACTGTACGACATCAGTGCACCTCAAAGAACACCAGGTGATAGAAATTTGGGGAGCACTCCACTACAGCGTCCGCATAATCATATCTTAATTTTAGGACATAACACCGCCCCCCAATAAATTATTATAAAAAAGTAAAACCTTCTTTCTAAGCATCGAAGGGCTAATTCCATACTTGCGCTGCAGTGCTACACGATATCTTTATAACCTTAAACTTCAAGCTTGGCCAGTCCCACGAAATATGATTTGTCAGTAGGCCTGTACACCCGATGGGTGCAAATAATATTATCAGATTACCTCGTAATGTACTAATAGTTTTCTTGCTGAAAACCAGGGGTGCGTATTATGATTTCGCCTCACATGTTTTTTTTTTCTAAATTTCCTGCGAAAGTAATATTGCCAATATGTTGACCACAGAGAATGTCTTCGATAAATGCACGTTGCAAGTGTCAATTATGAGTGCGAACTAAAAAGTTTCGAGACTACAAATGTGATAGGAGACACACGGGCAGTGTTAGTTGTTTGTAGAACAATTATATTGCTGCAGAAACAAACAAAATATATATGATTTGTTTCGCAGTTTTATTACATTTTCTCCGGCGTCGTTCGAAATTCTGCTGAGTGTGTTAGGAAGAAAGTAAGCAGGAACAATTCACCTTTTTTGTCATAACAAGAAGAAATTTCAATTTTTCGCAAGTGAGGGAAGCCGCAGGGGAATAGCTCCAAGTACCACCCGGATTTCTTCTGGATACATGCTTTCAGTTTGAGAAAAAAATACACTTTGCAAACTGTTTTCTGAAGTAAACTTTGAAAGAATTAAGTTATTCAAATAAAAAGTCAGACATAATTAGAAACCAACTGGAAATCGTGTTTTTTTATAGTGAAGTTATGGAAGCGCTCATACCCTTCAGCAATTAAAAAAAACTATTCGTAAACCAAACTGAACATTTCCTGCTGCGAGTGAACAGGTAATAATTTTCTGCTTTATAACTTGAACATGTAGGCGGCCTAAGCTTGGGATGCAGCTACTAAAGTCATGTTTTTATAGTTCAGAAGCACTCATGGGAGAAAACGCTAAGCAGTCGCACGTTTGGTGCCATCGACAATGACAGAGTAGCTGCTTGTCCGCTTGGGGTTGGAATACGGTGGTAAATAAAAGTATATTTTGTCGCCTTGGGTTGGAAGGAATAAAAACAGTCAAGAAAGGTCCCCACTCCACTTGAAAAGGAAAGACCTTTTGCTGGGAAAGTGCTCCAAGGTTTACTAAAATAGAGACTGCTTCGGGTGTCAATTCTCACATCTCTTAATATCTGGAATACTTTGCTTATCTTGTTAGGGTCACAAAATAATGCGGGATATTTATACGTTCATAAGTTTGTTGGCGATTAATAAGAGAGGCTCATGTCATTACGGTGATAAAAAGCTGTAATAAAACCCAATTTCATACAGTAGTACACAAGATCTTCAACTACAGCGCAATCTAACAGCACATGAATCACTAATAGCTCAGCTCATGCACAGGCGTGTAAAACAAGTTCAAGTTTGCAAGTCCAAGCCTACAATATTCCGTACGGCGTCCTTATTTGTCTTTATTGCTTTCCTGTTTTACTTGAAATGTGATAACGATGAGTAAATACTTCTCATTGTGATTTTGTGCGAGAAGTTGGTGCAGTTTTGCACCCGGTGTTCACGAGTAACAAAGCAACAAACAAACAAAAACGCTGCCAATAGCGAATCAATCTTTCAGTAAAAAATTGTCATTGTCTTAAGTACTTTTTTTCAGAATCAAACAAAACACGCAGCTTCAGAGTGAACTAATGCGCTGTAGTTGTTGAAAGTGTAGAGAGCCGCAAAGAATAGGTCCGCCAGATATGAATAGACTCTGTACGCCAGATATGAAAACATTGCTTTTTTCATATCCAACATACTTGGAAAGCACCTATCGGGCCACGTGAATAAGATTCCTGATTGATTTGTGGGGTTTAACGTCCCCAAACCACTGTATGATTATGAGAGACGCCGTAGTGGAGGACTCCGGAAATTTTGACCACCTGGGGTTCTTTAACGTGCACCCAAATCTGAGCCCACGGGCCTACAACAATTCCGCCTCCATCGGAAATGCAGCCGCCGCAGTGAATAAGATTCCTGTTGCCAACATTGTGAAAAGCAACCGATGGAATAACCGCGCATTATTCAGAATTCCGCCTGAGCCCACGCCATCTTGTAGAAGCGCGGGGAGCAGCGTATAGAGGTTCAGTCTTGGAGCAAAACAAAATCTCGCATTGTGGCATGCGCTGAGACGTTGCTGTCGAGTTCTCAAATTGTTGCCATGCCGCAGCGAACATGCACCTCCGTGCTCCCTGTCCCACCATAAAAAAGCGGTGGCGAAAGGGTGTCGAAAGAGTTGTTAATTGCGTACCGTAGTGCATGTCATCTCGGCGGAGAGAGCAACACGTTGTATCTCGAAAGAAGCATATGTCGCTCAACTGAGAATAGCGTCAATTAGAAACTTGTGCATCAAAAGAAAACGTGGGTCACGCTATGCTGGCTTATATAAAACAGTTCACGCGCGACCACATCTTTTTCGCGGAGAGTAGAGTAATTATTTGAGCAAATGTCTATTTTTTTTTTACTATGACGCTGGTCTTCCAAAAAAGAGGAGTGTACTTTCGCGTAGCCAATTGCCTAAATAAATTACAGGCCTACGGGAAATTACACCATGTTTGTTTTCTGCCACAGACTTACTTTTTACTGATGCTCAGGTTCAGTGACAGTAATATTAATGTAGACGTTGGTTAGCAGCGAAGAAGGTATAAAATATAGACGTGTGATGCGCAAACATATGTTATGCTTCATTTTGTTCCGCAGTGTATATAAGAATGTTCTGTTTTCATTTAACGCGATTCTTTGGCAGTTAGTCTGCTTGCAAGCTATTTAGAAGTGACTGCAAACTAGGTAGTGCAACGTGAAAGTTTTTTACACTTCCAGTGCCTCCTAGACTCAACGATTGGCCCTCCGAAAATCAAAAGCGACGCACATATATGCTCGTACCTTTCGGAGAATCCTGCTACACACTAACACTCGTCTCTTTCGACTAGCGGCTAGTATGAAAGGCTTTTTATAACTAAAAAAAAATAAGGCAGCTTTGCGTAAGGGGTGCTAAGCTTGAAGGAAGCGCGGAACTGGCAGTCGTCTTACTTTTTCTTTCCTCTTCACTTTCTTTCCCTTTCTACTGTTCTGTTTTTTAACTCTTTACCTATATTTTCCTCTCTCTTTATCTACTCATTTTTTTTTCTTCTTCTTTTCTTCTTCGTATTTTATTTTATTTTTTCCCCTTTGTTTCTGTTTTGCTTTCACGCTTGCTTCCTCTTTTTTTTTGAAACATTATACATCGTTTGCCTTGCGCTGCGGCAAGTGCTATAGCTTTTTCTTTCGCTGGCAGTGATAACTGCTTCATCATCAAGTCACTTCAAGCACAAGAGTAAGATGCCCTCTTCATACTCTACGCATCAAGCGTTGCGCCAGGCATCAATGACAGCATACTGCCATACTACAGCATACGACAGACAGGCCTTCTAATGTGTTCTGGATTTAAAAAATCTGATTCGGCTCGACGAACCGGCTGGACGTTTGCACGAAGAGCACGATTCTTTCCACTTTTCATTTCCTTTGTCAAAACAATGCGATTGCACGCTCCAATGAACAAACTACAGCACAGCGCTAACGAAAGTGACGCCATGACACTATTTCGAATAGCCATTTTTATTTTAGCAGTGTTCCCAGCAGAAGCAGCGTTTTCTAAAGTAACTGGTTGTTCGCGACAACAAACCTATAGTGAGAGCAAACGCCCAGCCAGTTATATCGCAACTCGTTTTACGAGAACCCTTCACAAATATTAGAAAAATTCGCAGGGCAGGCCAAATTATAAGTATTTCAATACGTATGCGACATGTTTGCTACATTTTTGTAGGAACTACTGTTTTTTTTTTTGCTTTCACTGCATTTAATTAGCGTTCACAATAATGCACAAAACATATGATGAGCATATTGACATGTGAAAAAAAAAACAGTTTACGGCTCTGTCTTGATGATCAATAACATACGAAGAGTTAACAGCACACTGTTGCTATTGACGTCCATGAACTGAGGCCCCGCCACGGTGGTCTAGTGGCTAAGGTACTCGGCTGCTGACCTGCAGGTCGCGGGATCAAATCCTGGCTGTGGCGGCTGCGTTTCCGGTGGAGGCAGAAATGTTGTAGGCCCGTGTACTCAGATTTCGGTGCACGTTAAAGAACCCCAGGTGGTCGAAATTTCCGGAGCCCTCCACTACGGCGTCTCTCATAATCATGTAGTAGTTTTGGGACGTTAAACCCAACAAATCAATCAAATCCATAAACTGATAATGTGCTACGGCCTCAAAATACACTCCTGCCGTTAGATACTTGGTAATTCGGCTTCTACAGAGCCACTCCTTGAGCAGCGACGGTCCCGAGCGTGGTACTCTCGTGAGGGGCTGAATTCACAGCACCTTCCTCTCTTCATTGTTCAGGC